ATTCTGTACACCGACATTTTTAGAACAACTTTCTTATAGGCTTATTTTAAACATCCGTTTATATGATCTAAATAAAATCCCAGTCGTTACTTGTAGGCCTATATTGTAGTTGGGCATTTGGTCTTCCGTCTCAAGACGCTGATCGTGTCTTCGTTTGTTAATTTGTGTTAAAATAGAAAAAAAAATACTCAAATGTCATTACATCTACAGTCTATAATAAAAATCTACTAGACTATATACTTCTGCAGATGAATATGAATTAATCTGACCAAAGTTCATCAACACGAGACGCAAAAATTTGCAGACGAGGGGGGAGGGGGTTGTCCCGGCTGATGTCCACACGAGTAAAAAGAGCGCGTGTAGTCTATAGCAAAATCCAGCAAAAAATAAAATAAAGGGTCTTTTTTTTGCAGGTATTTGTAGAGATCATTGCAAGTTCTAAGTAAAATCAGACCGTGCAGACATCATGGGTCACAAAGCCAAGTTTTTCTTCCAAGACACACAGAGCGAGTAATACCATGGTGGATTTAAGGTGGAAAATCCCCCGGAATTTCCGACAATGTAGGCGCAGGCCTATCATTTCCGTCAATCTTTAAAATCTTATAATGCCAACGTGGTGTTACTGAATTACAGTACTGTAGTTCATTTTTATTGTAGTATATTACGGCCAGCAGTTGGATATGCTTAGCCAGTGTGGGCTACGAATCTGACCCGCGAACAAATTACATCAGTTGAACACATAGAGAAAGGGCATTTCAGATCATTCTCCCATGGTGTACTTATGATGAGGCACGTTTGATTCTAAGTATTCCTGTTGGAGGACAGACGAACCCGACTGTGCAGGGAATGCTTCAAAAAATTTAAAAATTCCAATCACAGATTAAATGATTTACTCCCTTCATTACGTAATGTATCACATAACTTGAGGACAAATGTGATACAAACAGATCAAAAAACTTTATCATTAATACCGAATTGTTCAAAGGATGCAAAGTATTCCTTGCATAGTCGGACGGACTTTGTTTTTATATTTAATTTTAATGTTTAACGCTTTGCTGTTTAATTGTTAGATAATTAATTTTTTGATTGTTCAACATAAATTTATTTACAAAGTAGATTGCAATAAAATTGTTCTCGTATCGTATACCACCTCAACACCACGGTTGGGGCTGAGGTAGGAAAAATTATGATTATGGCACCTCAGCAGATGCCGGAAATGGCACTCATATAGACAATTTTATTTTTATCTAAAAATAATTTTGAAAAATTTAGAGGGACCCGGCTCGGTTGCCTCCTCCTCCTCTTTATTTTGTCACTTAATATAATATGATATAGGCCTATCCTGTCTGTTCCCTGATCCTATAGTCAATGTCTTTATGTTTAAACAAATCTCTCTTGTGTCAGGTCCGGTGCTACACTGACGATCATGTGTAGGGACCACATGGGGCCCCTAGAAGTCGGGTGCCCAGGGACTGCCACACGAGGGCGCATAGGCGTTGTACACCACTAGTCCAAACAGTGGTCTACCAAATCAGCATAATTGCTGAGTGATCAATTCCAAAAAATCCTAAAAACCAAAGACCAAAAAACTGCAAATGGCACGTGAAATCGGTGACTGATATATTGTGGTTTTTTTTTTATCAATAATAATATTAATATTAATATTATAATTATTATTATCAATATTATTATTATTATTATTATTATTATTATTATTATTATTATTATTATTATTATTGTTAATGTTATTATTATTATTATTTGTTATTATTATTTATTATTATTATTATTATATCATTGTTATTCACATTCTAAATTAAAGGAATACATACAATAAATAGAGAATGTTTAAATTCATTATAACTTTTTAGATTGTGTGTATAATTCAGTTTTTACTATATTTTTTTTTAAACCACTGTGTGAGCGTTATAAACAAAATTATTGACTCACAATTACCATTGTCTTCAATTTGCTAAGGTGTTTATTGTATAGTTCATTAGAATGTAGCAACACATTTAATAGGGCCTATTTTGAATTGGCATATAACTTTGTATTGTAATGCATTATTTGTTATTTAGTTTATTATTTATTTGGCCTATATACAGTTTTCGGAGAATTAATAATAATAATAATCTATTAAGCAGGGATGGCGCCAGTTTTTTCCCGACGGGGGTGGGGGTCCAAGGTCCGCGACGGGTGGGCCGATGTCTCCGACGAGAGCAAAGTGGGCGTGGTCGGGCGTCACTCATTACTATTTCAAAGTGATCGAGGGGGTGAAACCATGGAAAATATGACAAATTAGAGGTTTCAAAAGCTTATTTAATGGATTTTCTCCCCGACAAATTGTGTGGTTTTTTTTTTCTCCTCGATGTGGGGCCCTTCCCCTCTCCCGCTGACGCCACCCCTGCTATTAGAAGAGAAGGAGTTACGTCAGTTCCGCCAAGGTGAATACTTTGAAAAAGTTTTTGCTGGGTATCTTTACCATAGCGATAATTATTATAATATGTCTGTGTGTAACTGGAAAATTAATTATCAACGATTTAAACTTTGCACCAAAATGATGAAAAAACAAGTCACGATTTCGGAAAAGCGGATGCTCACTGATTTTACGCATGCGCAAGGCTTGAATCTTACAATAATCTCTTAACCACGTATTATAGGTGTTATCGCTGAGGAAGTGCACATGAGATATAATCGAATAATATACTTATATTTATAATGTCAAGGTATGCATTTCTACTTCGTGTAATCGTACTTAATCAAATGAATGCAGACAGTGGTGATCGCAAACATACACCGATCACATGAACGCAGACAGCAGGCCTAGTGGCATCAATTATCATTATCATCTAGACTTCACATGGCCGGCGGAAGGTTTAAAAAAAGAATTTTAAACCTACCTTTTCAGGACCCGTGAGCTGATTTTTTTTTTCTTTCTTTTTATTTTTTTTTTTTGCTTTTTGAAAATTAGAATTTTGAAGAACATAAAATTCATTAAAACACACTTCAAATGTCTGGAAAGCTCAATTCCCGCCATCTAGGAATCAACATTTTCCCGGGGGAGAACCCCCGGACCACCCTTTCTTTTTGGGATTTATCGATTCATGGAAAAAAGAATACCGGTACGCATGCAACTACTCATTTGTTTATGAATGTATACACACATAAAATAGAAAATGAGAAAAATTTACCTGACCTTTTTCAAGAGGGGAAAACCTTGAATTTTGTAGAACTTTAGAAGTCATTAAAAGACATTTCAGAAGTCAAAAAGCTCATCTCCCGTCATCTAGAAATCAAAATTTTTCCGGGGGAACCCGGACCCCCTTTATCTTTGGAGTTCATTGATTAATTGAATCATTTTCAAGGGGTGGGGGGACCTTGAATTTTGAAGAATTTAAAAGTCATTAAAAGACACCACAGAAGTCGGGAAAGCTCATTTTCCGCCACCTAGGAATCAAAATTTTCCCGGGGAAGAACCACAGGACCTCCCATCCCCCCACCCTTTCTTTTTGGGATTTATCGATTCATGGAAAAACTACGTACGGTATGCAACTTACTCAATCTTTTCTTATGTATGTATGCACACATAAGGCCTATTTACTGTATTAACATTGGGAAAAAATTATCTGAATGTTTTCAAGAGTGGAAAACCTTGAATTTTGAAGAACTTAATTACTTTCAAGTTCTTCAAAATTCAAGGTGTTCCCCTCTTGAAAATTATTATAATGAATC